CAGGAAGCTCGAAAACACTGGGCAAGTTACACTTTCTGTGCCATTTCTTAATCTGCAAAATGGGGACTAGTAACACCACCTACTGTAGAAGGTTGTTGTGATGATTCAGTGAGTTAATAAATGTAAACTACTTCATGCCCAACAAATAGTAAGTGGTAATAAGTATTTGCTATTTCTGTTGGTGGTGGTTCATATCAATATCTCACTAATATATCCTATTATCATCTCCATTTTTAGAGAAAGGAAAGTGAGACTTAAAAAGGGAAAATGACCAGCCCAAGGGTACACGACAAGGAACTGGCAGAGCCAGGGTTCAAAGACAGGTCTGTGTGACTCTGAAGTTGAGTGGAAGTCAGTCTGCACCACACTACTGAGGAGTGATGGTCCCTCAAAGATGCAAAGGCCATCAACAGGGTACTCAGGAATGAACAGCCACTCTGCAAGCTCCTGGTCTCGTCCCCAACTTATCTCTACTGTCCATATCTCCAACTTGATGAGGTGGGGTGCTCCCAGATCTTAGGAGGCCGGTGCTTCTCCAAAAGGCTACTGCCAATACAGACTCACCTGTGAAGGGGACAAACCAGCCTCTGGTCTCAGGTGCAACTCCAGCCTCATAGAGCAATGGGGTTGGGGGAGTGAGTGGGGACTCAAAACGGCAGGAGCCTGTCTGGGCAGTGAAGGCTGCCTCCTGGAGGAAGTGGTCTATGGGCTGAGGAGATTGCCAGTTGGAGTGGGGCCAGGAGTGCTTATGAATTTTTAAAGCAGAGGGAATAGGGTGTGCAAAGGCCCAGAGGCATGAAAGGCCCTCGTATGTAAGGAAAGAAGGAAGTAATTCGGAATGTCTGAGGTTTGGATTGAATGGAAGAGGGAAGAGAAATGGCATGGGGGGATGAGATGGCATACAGAGTTTATGAGCAGACAGTGAGGAGTGCCAGCATCAGGTCCACGAGTCTTCTAATAGAGGAAGGAGAGCCACAGAAGGGTTTTTGTACAGGAGCAACCGGACCTACCCCAGAAGCATGCGGAAGGTGGATTGATTAGAAGGGGTAGAGACTAGAGGCTGGTTAGACCAGCAAGGAGGCTACCTCAGTAGTCCAGATGAGGGGTGAGGAGGTGCTGAATTTGGGGGGAGAAGTCTGGAACTTCCGGACACTCTCTCTGGCTTATGTGTCCTCTGTGGTAAGGAAATGGTAGGACTGTGATTGCTGGGGGCACTTGGCCTCCTCGGGTTTGGTTGACTATGGGTCCTATGAGGTAAGGTTTCCTGGGGCCAGAGGACACTCACCATGAATCCACATGCCAACACCTTCCATTTCAGCCTCTTCCTCATATTAACAGTCTATAGCAAGGGCAGAATCAAAAACCAGGGTCCTACTTTCCATCATGCTCACCCAGCTCCCAGTAGAGTTGCTGGGGCGAGGGGCCCCATCTCTATCCCAGTGTGCGGCAGGCAAGAAGGAGAGAGAGGACTCAAGGAGCAGGTCAGAGCCTGCCCTCGGTCAAAGGAAATATCCACCCTCCTAAGCCTTTCACAGACTGTTTTCTTCAAAGTAGGTCCCGCTGTTACCAGGGCAACAGAGAACTCTGGGCTTTTTGTTTCTGTGTCTGTTGAATCCCTGGGGAGAAGTAGCCTGCAGAGCTTTCCATAGTCTGTGCAGGATGCAGGAAGTGCTAGTGGGAGATGGAGACACCCTCCCCCCCAATTTGGCGGTGATCTCTTGCCTTGGTCATGCCTGTCCTTATTTTCTGGGAGGGGCAAGGGCCCCACGTGAGTTAGTTATGATGGTCAAGGGTAAGGTTTAGGCTCCTATGAACCTGGTTTCCCAGGACCAGACTTCTGCACCAATCCTATGTCACCTCACTCTGAAGGGGTGCAGTCTGTGCAGGCGTCCAAGAGGGGCAAGCTCACACCAGACCATGGCACATGCTGGGGTCATTACACAAATATGTCTTTATGACTATGTACATAGTGTGGGATCTCCAGGCTGATCTCTCCTCTGGAGAGCTCTATGGGAAGGCTCAGAACCAAATTGGCCATTAAATGTCCCTCGGCTAGTTAGTACCCAAGAGTCTTTTCTGTGCTGGGCCAAGCTGGGCATTCGACTTGCTTAGAGTGCTTTTTAGAAATAGGAGTATTCCTGGGGTTTCTGATTCCGTCAGTGTGGGTGTGAGTGGAGGGTGCCGATTAAGAATTCTGAATATCAAACTGCTGGAGTTCACAGCAGAATTCTGCAAATGAATCAAGTGACCTTGAGCTGCCAGTTTCCTCACAGAATGATGAGGGGAACAGTGGGTTCAGCAAGATTTTTCTCTGCCTTCCTCCATCCCTTGGGAACAGGATTTTTACGACCCTCACCAATCTTTTCTTCCTTATCCTTTGTTTTATTCTAATGTTTCCTTACTGCTGGCATGCAAAAAGGCCTCGGTGAGGTGCAGCCTGGTCACCTTCCATTGGCCGGCCAGGACCCCAGGTGAGGTCGGCCCATCTCTTGGACCCCCCCCCACCCTCTGCTGCAGTAGCCCAGGAAGGCATTAGCATGTCTGACACCCAGTCTGCTGATTCATCCTGAACCCCATCAAGTGAAGTTCTCAGATTTTTCTTCACAAATTTCTTCTAAGCCACATCGTCCCCACTCAGGCTCCTGCAGTTGATTGAGTTGGCTTCTGAACCTGACCAAGAACTCACAGGTGCACCTAGCAAAGGTCATTTCAGCACATCCTTCCGGGTTAGGAAGATTTGGACTCGGATTCCGTTTTGGAGAAGAGTCTAGTCCTCCAGGCTTCATGCCATCTGTAGGTGTTCCTAGTAGGCAGCCTCCAGGTCTTCATCCAGCAGCCCACTTCTTCTCTCGCTTCTTTGTCTCGGGTTGAGATCCGACTGTGTACCCAGCCGTGTGCTAAGCCCCGGGGACCTAAAGTAACTGTGGCCTGAGTAGGACTCACACAAGTTCCCAGTGGAGTCGTTGGCAGCACCTGGAATCCAGGACTCGGTTTCCCATACTCATGGGGCTGCCAGCGGCAGGGCTGGGCAAGGCTCAGCCTACTCTTCTTACTTCCACCCACCTGCTCTGATGGGCCGACACAGTCAGGGCCCACCTCTCCCTGCCAGCAATGGCCATGAGGAACTTCAGGGTACTGGAGACCTTATCTGACCCCTGAAACAGAATAGGGAGCCCCAGTGCTCACAGGTGTAATTTACGGCCCCATAGTCCTGTCCCTCCCCAGACGGACAGTCAGCCACACACTCATGCAAACTCATCACCACTGCCTGCCTTTCTCTTCAGGGCAGAGCTGTCACCTGGGTGGCTCTCCCAGAGCCTCCAGAGGTAGCACACCTGATGCACACCTTGTTGCTTGGGCAAAGACCCAAAATCCAATCAGGTTGAGGCTCTCCTGGGAAACAGCATGGTGGATTAGAGTTGAGAGACTGAGTTTGGGAGTCACACATACCTGAGTCCCCTCCAGAACCTAATATCTCTAAGCTTGGGGTCCCTCTGCTCTAAAAGGAGACACCATTACCCGCCTCACTGAGTTGTTGAGGGAATGGAGTGAGATGATGTTGGTGAAAATGCCTCGCACATGGTCAGAAACACAGTGGTTGCCTGCCTTCCTTCCTTCCTTCCTTCCTTCCTTCCTTCCTTCCTTCCTCCCTCCCTCCCTCCCTCCCCTGAAAGGGGCAAAGCTGATGTGTCCCTGAAGCCGGGCCTTGTCTCTCGCTGCACTCCTGGAAGCTGGGAGGAGGCGGGCAGGACGGGTCAGACCCGAAGACAGTAGGGCCCGTGAATGGAGGCAGAGAGGAGCTGACTATTGGGCAGCTGCAGGGCTGCGAAAGAGCCACTTACCAGCTGTACCCCTTGGGCCCGTGACTTCTCTCTCAGCCTGTTTCTTCATGTGCAAGAGGAGGGTAAACGAACTGAGATCATGGATATCGAGCGTGTGGTTTAGGACTTGGACCTAGTAGGGGGTTCAGTAAACCTTCCCACCCATTGTTCCAGGAAAAAAATGTCCAATTCATGGCTGGAAAACTTGAGCAAACCCCAGAATGGGATTCAGTTTCTTCTGACGCACGTGCTGGGAGGGTCTCTGCAAGGACTGCTGTGTGGCTGTTTAAAAATCTTCACTAGCTAGTTTACTGGTGTCACATAGCACCACCTAGTGCCCCAAAGTGGAAGGACCCGCCCGGCCACCCTCCCTCCAAAGACAGCGTATGCGTGTGCCTGTGCATGTGTTTTGGGAGGCAGGTGGGGGGGACACTGTTGTTGGATGGTACAGCTGGTCCACCCACACCTTTATTTCCCAGCAAGTGGAGAACTAATGCTATTTTTCAAGATGCCTAGTCCCTCCGCTTCCTTCCGACACAAAGGCATAGGACTCTAGGTGGGTCCCTAGATCCTCACTGGGTCTTAGTGTCCTCATCTAAGGAATGCACGGCTTCAGGCTAGGGTCGCTGCAGGCAAGGTGCCTGGGAAGTACTTGATGGCTCCAGGTACCCATCTCTACTTGATCAATAACCCAGACAGACACAGTCTTTACACACCCTTTATATTTTTATTGAGGAGAAAGCTTTAGCATACAGAATGATTTATTATCTTCACAACACAGCAATGCAACAATAGCACAATAACAAGAACGTTTCTTTCCAACGGGTTTCCTCCCGAGTCTCTGGGAATCCTTGGGCTGCCTTCGTACCCCGGCATGCATTTCCCCCCACCCCTCCTTCAACCCAAGAAAGTGCCCAAAGCCCATAGTTCCTCTTGCAGCCCTTGTGGCTGTTACATCACAACAGATATTGAAGACCTGGGAAAGGAGGGAAGAGGGTCGAAGGGAAGCCCAGGACCCTTGCCACCAGAGGGCCAGAAACCAGCTCACTGCTCACCCACTTTCCCCAGCTGAGGCTACGAGGTCTCAGGGTGAGAAGCACCACGGGAACAGGCAGGGCCTGTGCTGAGGGGTCCCTGGAGTTGGGGTGCAAGGCACCTGTCCTTTGCACTTCTCCAGCAGGGACATGGGCAGCAGGGCCAGTGTGTTGACCATCAGCAAACAGGATCCGCGGCCTTGAAGAACAGCAGTTCCCCTTCTGGGTCTCTCTCCTGAGGAAATAGCTGGAAAAAAAACAGACCACATTTTCTTTTACAGGGTTATTCAGTCCTGCACTAGTGGGGGTGGGGAAAACCAGGCTACTGAAATGTCTAATGAATTAGGAGAATACTTCAATTATTCAGCATGTCTGACTGCATAGGTGGCAGCCATTTTAAATCCTGCTCATCCCGAGCTTGCGGGATGATCTCAGCTCTGAAAAGATGCATTGAAGACACACTACAGAGGAAGGCAACAAAGTGTTGCTAGTACTTGCATCTCTGTGGTGGGGTTCTGAATGTTTGGCTGTTTTGTTTTGTTTTTTCTTGATAGTTTTCACTATTTTCCAAATATTCTCTAATGATGATGTACTGTTTTTCTCTTTGGAGGAGGGGAAGCCTTTGTAAAAGGTAGCAACAGGTTATAGCAACCCGGCTGCACTGATTCCCCGGGCTGAGAAATGTATGATAAACAAAAGGGCTTCTTACCTCCTGCTGATGAATCAAGACCTCACCAGCAACCAGCCAGCAGACTGGGTTTCTTTGTGACTCCTCTTCCTCCAGCTCCTTCCTCTGGCTTCCAGGCTCAAACTCCTAAGGCTGGGCGGGGGATCAGCCAGACGCCGGTGAGGGACAGAGGCTTGAGTTCCTCGGCTTTCTTCCCTCTGGCTGCAGACACCTGGGCCGCACCCACCCAGCTGCCAGGCACGGTGCGGGGAGCTCAGTGTCTAGGGCAGTTCAGGCCAGCGGTGGATCCGGCTGCCATTCTGAGGCCAGTGACACAGTGTGTCCTTTCCACTGCAGAAGCAGCGTCTTTTGGACCCACGGCAAGCAGCAGGACTCTTTATGAGGGTCCCTAGGTGTGTACCCAGAAGTCCCAAGAGTTACTAGGAGGCAGTCACCCTCTCCAGCCTTACCATCTAATTGAAGCCCAGTGTCAGGCCTCCATGTGAGAGACGCGAGGACGGCCTGGCTGCAAGGCCACAGTCTCTGTAGACAGAAAGTTCCTCTCTCTTCCGAGAACTAAGGAATCCCTCACATTGAAGTGAAAGAGCAGGCCTTGGTGGTCCAGGAAGGAAAGGCCCGACACGCCTCCTGTGAACCCCCCAAGGATGGCAAGTCTCCCACAAAGATCTTTGGCTGGGGCTGCAGTCCAAGAACTGGCCCGGGGAGGAGACCACCTCCTACTCCCTCATCTTCCAGGCAACATCAAGGGAAAGGCCCCATTTTGGCGAGCTGATCTAGGGACCCTGATACAGTAGTTTGTGGGAAGGACAAACCTCAGTGAAATGTCCTTTTGACATGTTGGCTTTGCCCACCTTCACTGGGCTAGATGGAGGGTCCTCTTCGGGACCCTTCTGCTGGAGACCGAAGCCAGTGTGGGCTTCTAGGCACATTTCTTGATCTCATCCTGCTGTCGATTATATGCAGTGAGTGGCCTCGGTGGCATTAGGAGTTCAGTGTAGCCTGTCCTTCCGCTCTTTGGGGCAGATCAGTGAGGCATTGGGTGAAGGCCTGGCGAGCCAGTCAGTGTTGATAAAACCATAATCACAGGGTTAGGCACGACTAGAGGGGAAATACGAGGGGGTGACCAGTTCATTGACGGGAACAGGCCCAGAAACCTGCTGGCTAGCTGTGGCAGGACTAAGCAGAGTGCACAGTCAAGAGCACAGCTATTGGTGGCCCCTCCTTTCCTGCGCGGTCTTGGCTGCAAGATGGGCTGAAGTTCTACAGGGCTTTTTCAGGTTCTTCAGGTCTGGAAGTCCCTTAAGTTCCGGTCAGAAAAATGGGGCAGGTGTGGCAGCAATAGCAGGGGCAAGGGACGCAGTAGAAGGGTGTGTTCTGTGTGGCCATCTGGCCCTAGCACTCACACGCGAATTCGGCCACGTGCAGCCCGGTGGCCCCCCTGTCTCGGAGTGAGGCGGAATAGCACGGGGGGGCGTCTTCGCGTTTGGCGTTGCCCCAAGCGACCCGCCCGGCGAATCAGGGGCGGTGAGCTGTGGAAGGGCGAATTGGTGCCCGGAAGGCCCTCCAGCAGCGGGACTCGATTCTGGTTCCTCCGTCTGCTGGGCTGTGTTATGGGAGGCGCCGTATCGAGGAAATTCTCGTGATAGTAGCCCGTAGTCTGGGATGAAGCGTTGGCAAAGGTCGGCTCCACGTCCATCACATCATCCAGGTCGTCATCCTGGGCCTCATCCTCCGTCTCTTCTTCTGGTTCTGGCTCCTGCTCTGGCTCCTGGCCTGTCTCCTGGCCCTTCTCTTCATCCTCCCTCTTCTTCCTCATCTCCTCTTCCTCGTCCACGTCGTCCACCACCACGATCTCATCCTCATCGTCGTCGTCATCCTCCTGTTTCTGTCTCATCTCCTCCTCCTTCCTCATCTCTTCCTCCTTCTTCCTCTTCTCCTCCTGCTCCCTCATCTCCTGCTGAAGAGCCCTCACACGCCTCCGCTGGTCCTTGTCCTGAAGCCTGCGCCTGCGCACCTCTGCGTCTTCATCCTCACTGTAGCGCTCTTCCTCTCCGCTGCCCTCGACATTGGGGTCTGCAGCGAAAGGGAAGAAGACATTGCGCACCCCGGGGAGCGGGATCGGCTTGGGGACGCGCACTTTTCTTTCTATCTCCACACATTCAAGTATCAGCTCGTCCAGGTCAGCCATTTCAGTTGACCATAGGAGCTCCTTGCGGAAGAACTCGGACAGGCCTTTGAGGAACTGGTTCTGGAGGCGGCAGTCATCCCAGGACAAGAACTGGGCCAGGAACTGGAAGGCATCTGCATAGCTGCCGAGGGTACAGTCTCCCTGCTTGAGCTTGCGGATGGCCTTTTTCGCCACGCTCGGGGGGATGGGACCACAGAATTTCTTACGGATCTCATCCAGGAAGCGCGGGAAGTTGGCATGCAGGGGGCTTCCTTCCTGGGTGACTGACACAGCCCAGTCCTTGGCATCGCCCGTGAAAAAGGAGACCAGGAAGGCCACCCGCTCGGCACCCCCGGGGAAGTGGTCCTCGTGGTCGGCTATGAAGGTCTCTAGCCGCATCAGGAACTCAGGCAGGTAGACCGGGTCGCCTGCAAAGGGCTCGAGCTCGGGCCGCTCCGGAGGCGGCACCGGGGGCTGCGCGGGCAGCTCCTTGGAGGCGGCCGGGGGCACCGGCTGCGGGGGCGGGCTGGGCTGCGGGGGAGGGTCGCCCTGGCCCTCCGAGGTGCCGCAGTCCTGGGTGGCGTTGGCCGGCACCTCGTCCGAGGCGCACTCGGGCCCCGTGCGTGGGGGAGGCCAGCGCGTGAAGGGCAGCTCGCCCTCGGGCACGGCGTCTATCTCGCTGAGCGGGAACTCCAAGTTCTCCTCCGCAAGGACGGGCACCGGCCAGCGGATGAAGCTGGACACATTGCCCCGCAAGGAATTCACCTCGGCCAGGGCTCTTCCGAGCTGAAGGCCCAAATTGGCATTCTCCCCGCGAAGGGCATTTAATTCTTCTCGCAGGGCCACGTTCGCCATGCGTAGGCTATTGAGGTTGCCTGACGCCTCGGACATCTGGACTCGCCCGGGCGCAGGGTCGCGGGCGGGGACGGGGCGCGTGGAGGGCTGGGGGCCGCGAGGAGGCGACAGGCGGCGGGCACGGGAGGGGCGCAGCGCCGCGGAGGGCGGCCGCGGCAGGCCGACCACACCCACGGGGAGCGCGGAGGGCGGGCGCTCCGGGCAGGGCCGGGCGGCTGGGCCGGGGCGCGTTACCTCGTCCGGGGCGAGCGGGCGGGCGGGCGGGCGGCAGCCGGCGGGCGCCGAGCGCAGGTCGCGGCGGCGAGACGGCGGCAGCGGGCGGAGCGGGCCGGAGCGGACTGCGGCAGATCTGTCGAGGAAAAATGTTGCGGCTGCCGGATCCCCGCTATTTAAATACAGCCTCGCCCCGCCCCCACCCCCACCCCGGCAGGGGCGGGACTTCGGGCACCTCGGGCGCCCAGTGGCCGCCGCGCCCACCCCTGGGCTGCGCCTCTCACTGACTCTCTCCTTCCCTAGCTGCAGCTAACTCGGGTCGGGAAAATGCGACAGCGACTGCCCACTCGAGGTCGTCATGGCGACAGCCAGTGAACGTGTTCCTCTCCTCAGGCAGGCCCCCGAGTGTAAAGGAGCTGCTTCGAGAGGCGCAGCTTAATCTCCAGAGCCTGTTGCAAGGTACCGAGAGGGTGCGGGGCTGCGGCCGGACCCACAGGCCAGATGTGCTGCGGCTGGAGGGAGGCACGGAGAGGACAGGGACCAGCGAGAGAGACAGAGAGAGAGAGAGAGCGCGAGCCGCTTAAACCCATTGAGAAACAACACAGTTTCCATCTGTCACCTTCTACACTAATGGTTCCAAAAAGCCTTCTTTCTACGGCCGTTTACCACCACCACCATCACCCCCTTTTGTGGTTCAGTCGTCCATGGGGAAAAGGGCAGAAACTGAGGCAGGGCAGTGGGTCAAACCATTCGTTTCCAAGGACGGCTGGGTGAGAGATGCCCACAGTGGGGCCCACACACCGCCCAGACCTTCCGCCGCGAGGTCTCCCACTTTGGGCTTCCCTCACTCGACTCCGGCGTTGACCTTGTCCACATCTCTCCCGGACAGTTACTACCTCACCAAAGCAGACCCAATGCACAGCACCCGGCACTCACTTCATGCCCAGTTACCAACCCAGTGTCTTTGAACACGGAGCCCGCCAAGCTGGGTCCACAGCACCCAGAGAAACCGCCCGGTCAGGGTGCCTGAGCAGTCAGACTGCACCCACCAGGCAGATGAGAAAACCCAGACTTGGGAAGCAGATAGAGCTCCACTGTGATTCTAATCACACGCCTGCCCAGCTGTGTGACATTGTGCAGATACCCACCCTCTCTGAGCTTCACATTCATCGGTCATCTTTAAAATGACAATTCCAGTTCCCCACATGGCACAGCTTTGTGAGAATTAAAAAGAGGGATTAGCAAGTTTCTTGCTGCTGGAGGGATCCTGATCAGATGCAGCATCAACTCCCAATACATGTCCTTCGGAACATGGGATGCGCTAAGCACAATATGAAAGTCAATATAAAAGAAAAAACAAGGTGGTCCCTGATAAGACCTTACAATATGAAAGACACACACATTGATCAGAGAGACTTATCCAATGTCAGCAGCCAGAGTTTTAAATCTCAGAGCTATGACAGAGACCACAGGCCAAATACCTGGGTGGAGGTTACAGGAGGCATGCATATGTCAAAATTCACTGAACTATACACTTAAGTTTGTGCACTTCACTATTGCTAAGTTATATCTCAATAAAATACAAATAAAACCTCAGTGCTAAGTCACAAGCTACATCCCCACTTCAGGCTCTCACATCCCATCCACCCCTCATTTCCAAGCCTAGAAGACCCTCCTCCCTCTTCCCCACTCCAATCTTTACACTTTCTTTAAAGTTCTGTGCTTGCCTCCTCCGAGAAAACCTTTAACCTGAGTTCTGCATTTTGCACCACTCCCTCCATAAGCACTCCTGCGAGCACTTGGTACCATCTCGTTCAAGAGGACTTGTATATTCTGAACTGCTTTTTTTTTTTCATTTCTTCATTCATTTACTCTTTCATCTACTAGTCCTGGGTATATAATTCATTCATTTACTCTTTCATCTACTAGCCCTGGGTATATAGTTCATTCATTTACTCTTTCATCTACTAGCCCTGGGTATATAGTTCATTCATTTACTCTTTCATCTACTAGCCCTGGGTATATAGTTCATTCATTTACTCTTTCATCTACTAGCCCTGGGTATATAGTTCATTCATTTACTCTTTCATCCACTAGTCCTGGGTATATAGTTCATTCATTTACTCTTTCATCTACTAGACCTGGGTATATAGTTCATTCATTTACTCTTTCATCTACTAGTCCTGGGTATATATTTTTCCACCTAACCAGACAGCTTGCCAATGTAAACAATCACATCTCTTGGTTTTCCAGAAGCACCTGGCACAGGGCTGGATCCCCAAGAGGCGCTCAGTAGAGATTTCTTGAGTGAACGTTAAATGTGAAAAGACATCTTATCAGTTCTTGTTTCTTCGTGCCAACGAAGATTAATGCTGGTGGAGAATAGAAAATGGCTGATAGCCACCCAGCTGGACTGTAGCCATAACCCCCACTTCCTTGCCAGGGCGGTGGTGACCTTGGAGAAGCAAGATTCCAAGGGACACCATGAACCTTGTGTTCAGATAGGAGAGGTGCTACAATGCAGGAAGGGGCATTGTGTTCTGTGCTGCCCCCAAGGGCAGAATTAGGTCCTCAAGATAAGGAAGAACTTTCTTGACACCTAACAGCCCCCACTGTCTTGGGTGGAATCAGAAGCCTCGGGAGGAGGGCTGCTCCCTTCTCTGAAGGTCTGTGCGGAGGCTGAAGAAACATGTCGAAGGGGTGCTGGGGAGGAAATCTGAGCCCAGAATGAGGTGTTGGACCAGAGAGCCTTTGAGACCTCTCCTGACTCCCAAGCTTACAATTCTTAAAGTATTTGCTGAGATGTGCATAGAGCCCTGCCCGTTGATTCTTTACTCTGACTTCCTGTATTTCATTGGATTCCTTCACTTCCCTCAAATTCATCACTTACATGAAACCAATTCAAATCTTAAGCATCCTTCTTATTCCAGGCTGATGCCCTTGAACTTCTTCCTTCTGTGCCACTTCCTCCCTTTCCTCTCCTTCACCTAAGCCCCCCTCGACCTGTCCCCGCCTTCTAGTAGGACTAAGGTGGAGGAAGCCAGGCCCTTACTCCACACTGGACTTACCGATACCAGTTTCCTCGTGCCTCACCCAGGCCATTTCCCAGGCAAGGTGGCAGAAAACCCAGAGCCGCAAGGCTTCAAAAGAGGACCTTACAGCTTAAAGCAGCAAAAACTATCTGCATCCTGAACTTCTCCAAGCTGAGCACTTCAGGCGTGGACCGCTTAGTCCCAGAACCAGCACAACTCAGATTTCTTGATTCTCTTTTCTCCTTGGCTGTCATAGTCCCAGGAAGTAGGCATTTTTCCGTTTCCAAATCCAGAGACTCAGATGCCAGGAAATATACTAAAGAAATCATGCAAGTCAGGCCTGGCAGCTAGAACAGGAGCCCTGGCTCGTGGTCCCTCCCCTGCCCGGCACTGGACCATGGCCCCCTAGAGTTTGTATCCACTATGCTGTTTTTCAGAAGAATATGAGGAACAGTACTCGGAGGTCAGACTGCTGGGGCAGACCTTCCGCTCTGCTGATGAGGCCCCTGAGCCCACCCCCAGCCCAAGGCCTCAGTCTGCCAGGCGTCTGGAGTTTGTATTGATGGTGAGTTGCCTCTTCCCCTGCCTGGGAGAGCCAGCATGCAGAGTTCGCCCTGCACCCATCGACAGGGAACCTCGAGCTGCTTATAGTATCCACTGGAAGCTGCTGCTCACCTCTGCTCACCAGCAGAGCTACCCTGAGGCAGGGTCTGGCCTGGCAGCCTGTCCACGTTTTCCTGACTCCCAGATGAAGCCTCCAACCAGCCTGCCTAGACAGCCATCCTGTGGGCACAGCTCACCTCCAGTCAGGAGCACACCCTTTGCATCACCTTCTTTCCCAACAGCCTACAAAACAGCAGCTGAGCGAGGATGAGACTACCACCCAGGGTGTGAGGGCCCCTGAGGCCTCCCTGAGCCTGTCTACCACAGCCGACAAGCAAGTTGCCTGGAATAACCCCTTCCCTCTGCCCATCCTAGAGGAGAAGTGGTGGCTTCAGCCTTGCTCCACGCACTCTGACATTGTGCCCATCAACATCTCTGGTAGAGTTGCTTAGCACCACCTCTGTTTGCTTCCTTCCATGCAAACTAAAGACCATCCTCTTCAAATGCACTGGGGCTGGGGGAGGGAGCGAGACTTTCTCTGCTACTGGCTCACCCTGCACTGTCAAGGTCATGGCTCTCGCCAGGGAACGGAGGCATGCAGAAGGGGGGCTCTGGCTGCTCTTCCTTCACTCTCTCTTGGCTCTGCCACACTAACTGAGACCATCTGATGGCAAGCAAAGTGTTCTTAATAGAAAACTCTGAACATTTATGAACTTGTGCGCTCTTTGGAGCATCTATGGAAATTTTAGGTTTGTGAGTTATGTTTGGGCTGGGAAAAGAAAACTTCCTCCGACAGAAGCCATGTTTGGTTGGATAGGAGTCTGAGGAAAAGTGTGGGTTTCAAAGTGCTGGTGATAAAAGGGAGGGTCATCCCCAGGGCACAGACTATGGGCCTAATGGCACTTTAAGTAGACACTCGGTCTTCTAATGAGGTAGGCCTCCTCGACTTATGTGGCAAGTGTTTAAGAAGTAACAGAAAGGGACCAAGGCCAAAAAGGCCAAAGGGAGGCCCAGTACCACCTCAAGAGTGGGGAAAATGACGTATGTAGCTCAATTGGATGTGACTTTGGGAACATGTGATCGATTGCAAGTGGAAGAGGAGGAGGGTTGGTCATTTCATAAGGATATAGGGCCAGCGAGCCGATGAAATCAAGACTTCATGACCCATAGGGACCAAGGCACCCTGTGAGCCAACATTGGCCTGTGGTTTGCGGGGAACCGTTGAAGATGATGAGGGCAGCTCTGGCCACATGTGGTGACGCTCCCTGGATATGGGATCATCCAGCGCCATTGGTGTCATCTGAGGAAATCAGAGGCAGAAAACAGAGCCCACAGCCTAGGGAGATGTACCAAGAGGACTAAGGGCTGAAAGGATAGTGGGAACTTTGTTTCTAAACTTTTATCTTACTCTCAATGAGGCTGGCCCTGAACTTTGCCTGTAGAGTCACTCGTGGGAGGGGGATGTCATGTGCTGCTGTAAGGCTGAGAGGGGAGGGTTTGGGTAGGCAGCTGTTGAGAGAGAAACAGTGAGGGGAGCAGCAGACTCACCCCCTGTCTAACTCTGCCCCTGTGTAACCCTGCCCCCTATCTAACCCTGCCCCATCCCAGCAATTCCACAGGAACAAAGACTGACCCAGTGCTTTAAGAGGAATAAATCTCAGTCACCGCCCAGGGGTGAACTTTGAAAAAATGTAATCAATGATGGCTGGAGGGCAGATATCAGGCTGCTTCCCAGAAACACTGTCCTCTGTCCCATATAAGAGCTTTCTTTAAGAAAAGATTATAATCAAGCAACATCTAGTCTCAGCCTGTCTCTCTGTACCAGTGGTTCTCTCCCCAGGCTACACATCTGAATAATCAACCACCTGGGGAGTTCAAAAAATAGTTTCTACTTGGGCCCTCCTCCCAAAGAGTTCAATGTGCTGGGGTGGCGTCCAGGGATTGGAGTTTAAAAAGCTGCTCAGTGTATTTCCATATATGTAGGCAGGATTGAAAATCATGGCTCTCGGCCACCTAAGACTCACAGGTGACCCTTAGTGTGGCCTATGAAAGCCAGCATGTCTGCCTTGGGGCTCTGGGTGTCTGGGGCCATGTTGGGAGGGATGTTGAAGAAGGGCCACCTGCCTGGATGCTATCATGCTCATCGCTACTGCCATCATCCCTTCTCTCTACCCAGGCCCATTTCCACTGTACTGTAAACAGAAACCAAGATGCACCCAAGTGTCTTTATTTTGGCTACAGGGCAGCAGTTTGATAAACACGCAAGTTCAAGACACTCCTTGTTTAACACAGAGACAGCCGTGAACCCCAAGTCCACCCTGAGGCGGAGGCGGACCATTATTGGATTCTCTAACTTTTCCCAGCGAGACCAAGGTGACCCCACTACAGCTGATCCCCCAGACCCTTCCCCTTGCTCACTCACACCAATCCTGGTGGTATTATGATTATGGGGAACAGGAATAATTTGAAGGGGACTTTGGATAGCCTGAAAAAGCCAATGTGGTAATGAGAGATAACCAAGGGCCTTTGGTCAAGGAAAGCAATAGAATATGAAGAGCAGGTCTTCCAGGCTATAAATTCATTATGTTGTTTCCATTATAAATGGAATATAACCATATATGTCAAGTTTAAGCAAGTAGGTAAAAGGGGAAAGCATCACTAAAAGCATCATCTTAGCAGAACCATTATGCTGCTAAATAAATGCCATCCAAAGAGCACAGGCCAGAGAGGTATGGATGTGAATCTTAGCCTCTCCACTTACTAACTGTGAGGCCTTGGCCAGGTTACATAACCTTTCTGAGCCTCAGCTTCTTCATCTGTGAATTGAGGATAATGATACCAACCTGGTAGAGTTGCTGTGAGGATTAGAGTTATTATATGAAATTTGCCTACCGTGTGCCTGCTACATAGTATGTGTTTAAAAAATGATGACTGTTATTATAAATTATCATAACAGTAGAAGTAGTAGTAATAATGATAGAATAGTAACAATTGTGTGTATGAGAAATTTTTTTTGAACATTTGAACAGTTGCCTCACATCTGTAGGTTGTCTTAAGTGTCACATGTTGCAAAGCTAAAAAGTGACAGGTGCCAAAAATGCAACCAGACTGTGGGCTTTCCAGCTGTGGCATATTCAAAACTCATTGCTGGAGCTGAGAGGCACACAGTGCTGTCGTTTACAGTTCAGAAACTTCTGCTGTCATCTCAGGAGAGGTGAACGCTGAGGTCTGTGATGGCTTCATAAACCTGGGGTGAAAGTCCGGAAAAACCCCAAGGTAGTCCCACCTGCCACCTCCGCTCCAAAAGGAACAATCAAAGCTGGAAAGTCTTTGACAACCATCTGGACAATTCAAGGGCACCCTGTGGCTCATCATGTCGTGATGGGCAAGGACACAATTTCCCCCACACTCTCATCTGTGGAAAGGAAGAACCAAGGAATTCTGTCCAAGTTGTTGGCAAATGCTTCTTGGCAAAAATTTGGTGCTGCCATCATGGGAGCTGCCAGGGGATCCCTGGCTATACCACTAACATTCTGTGTTTCCCTCCTCCAGGTCACAGCAACAGCCCCACAGGCAGGGCAGCTCACTCTACCAGCTCAGACATCAAGCCCAGTCATTCCGTTCCAGAAGGTGTTCATGGAAGAGTTGCAGTCGGTCAGGAAGCTCGTTTCCCCTCACCGGTACTAAGAAACCCTTCTAGAGATCCGGAAGAACCTCCCCAGGCACGTGGTGGCACCAAGCCTCCTAGCATGGAAAGCATGGGAATGGTGTATAGCGTCCCCAGTTCTTGCAATGGCCCTACAGAATCGACATTCTCTGCTTCCTGGAAAGGAGATGCTTTTACCTATATGACTCCAAGTGCCACAGGTCAGAGCAATCAAGTCAATGAAAATGGAAAAAATCCTTCCTCTGGGAATTCATGGGTCTCTCTGCACACACTGCCACCTCTGGTTCCTAAGGAGGCTACCACACTCTTTGTCACTCGTGATAACCCAGCAGGATGCAGTGGGTCAGCTGGCTACTCTGAGCCCCCTACGCAACGAAGGCAAGTATCAGAGCGACCCTTCAAGATTGGACTTCTGACTGGTGGTACCTCAAGGCTGGAGACAGGCCCAGGTGGGGCCAGCAGGTTCCGGGAGCGGTCACTGTCTGTGCCCACAGACTCAGGCACCACCGATGTGGACTATGATGAGGAGCAGAAGTCCAGTGAAGCCTGTGCCCTGCCTTATGCCAGTACCAGTTCTGAGGGCAGTAACAGTGCTGACAACATTGCCTCCCTTAGTTCCCAACAGGAGGCCCAGCACAGAAGGCAGAGATCCAAGAGTATCTCACTGAAGAAGGCCAAAAAGAAGCCTTGCCCACCAATGCGCAGTGTCTCACTGGTCAAAGATGAGCCAGTTGCCTTGCCAGAAGGTGGGTCAGCACTACCCAAGGACCAGAGGCCCAGGAGCCTTTGCCTCTCCTTGGAACACCAAGGACATCACTCATCCCAGGGTCACCCAGCTGTGCCCACCTTCAAAGATCCAGAGGGTACACAATTCTCTCACCACTGGTATCTTACTGACTGGAAGTCTGGTGACACCTACCAGTCATTGTCCAGCTCCAGCACTGCCACTGGCACCACAGTCATTGAGTGTACCCAAGTTCAGGGCAGCTCAGAGTCTCTGGTCTCCCCTTCCACCTCCAGAGCTACTACGCCTTCCCAACTCTCCATCGAGGTAGAGGCCAGGGAGGTACCCTCTCCAGGAAGGCCCACTGGATTGATGTCACCCTCTAGTGGATACTCCAGCCAGTCAGAGACACCAACACCCACTGTCTCCATGTCCTTGACCCTGGGCCACTTGCCCCCTCCAAGTGGCAGTGTCCGGGTGCGTCCAGTGGTGCCCGAGAGGAAGTCATCACTACCCCCAACATCGCCAATGGAGAAAATTTCCAAGTCACGACTATCATTTGACCTACCATTGACCTCTTCGACCTACCTGGATCTGTCTGGGATGAGTATCTCCATCCGAAGCAAAACCAAGGTGAGCCGGCATCACTCAGATACAAATTTTGGGGCCAAGCTGGTCCAGAAAACTAGTCCCAATCAGCCAATCATGCCCATGGTTACTCAGTCTGACCTCCGTTCTGTTCGGCTGAGGTCAGTCAGCAAGTCTGAGCCAGAAGATGACATTGAGAGCCCTGACTATGCTGAGGAGTCGGGAGGAGAAGTCTTCACCTTGCCAGAAAGAAAGATAAAACCTCCCATAGCTGAGAAACCCCTGCTGGCCCGAAGGCCTGCAAGCTTGATCCACAAGCCACCATCTGTCCCTGAAGAGTACCCACTAACTTCGCCTACATTGGTTATGACCCCTAAGAGCTCAATTCAACACATGAGACCATTCCCTCCAGACATCTACACGGTGGTGCGGAAGCCAAAGTCCTCCAGCTTCCCTGAGGCCAGAAGCCCAGGAGAGTCAACAGCACCCTCATCTCTTATTTTCACACCTTTTGCCAGTTCCTCTGGTGCTTTCTGCTCAGGAACACAGCAACCTCTCCAGGGAAGTACAGAAGAGGAGGGCTCCAAGGTGAGATCCCTGCCGGAAAGAATTAGCCTTCAGAGCCAGGAACAAGCTGAGAAGAAGAAAGGCAAGATTCCACCTCCTGTACCAAAAAAGCCCAGTGTGTTGTACCTGCCTCTCACCTCACCCACAGCTCAAATGGAGGCCTATGTGGCTGAACCAAGGCTGCCTGTCAGCCCCATCATTACCCTGGAGGAAGATGCCAAGTGCCCCCCTACTGGCGACCACCTGCAATCACCTGGTACAAGGACGACTTCCATGCCACCGGCTGACGATGAAACGGAGGCAAGCCCTCCAGGTTAGTAAACTGTCTGCTGGCTTTTCCTTTCAATCCCAGGGGAGATGAGGGTGAGCATGGAGTGCCAGAGACAGAAGCCAGTGCCCCATGATCCTGACCCTGGAATGACCAAGTCAGCAGGGGCACCTCTTGAGAGTTCTAAATAGGCCTCACTGCCCTTGGGATTGGAACTGACCCAGGGGCAGATCTCCAAAGCTCAGTTTGAGCCAGTCTACCCTGGAACCCCCGGTGCTGAGGTAATGAAATCGAACTAGGTCTTAGCACCCTCGGACCTCAGTAGCCCTAGTCAAGCATGCATCCCCTGCTGTACCTCACTGTACAGTACTTTTCACTACCACACTGAATTTAGTTCCATGCATGGGACTCGGAGGACATTATGCTCCTCCGAGTTGAATCTGGAGGACATTATGCTCAGTGAAATAAGCCAGTCACAGAAGGGCAAATACTGCATGATTCCACTTATATGAGGTCCCTAGAATAGTCAAATTCAGAGACAGAAAGTAGAATGGTGGTGAACTCAACCCTCCAAAGCTGAGTTCAAGTGCCATGGTGGGCTTGCAGGCTTCTGAAGTAATGGAGTATGTTAGCAGCAGCAGGCTTTCTTAGAGATTTCAAGAGGAAAGGGAGCTCACTTTCTTGGATGGTTAGCTCTTTCTGGAACAATAAGACTAAGCTAGATAACATTTCTCCTCTTTTTTTTTTCCTGTCTCTTCCTGTTTTTCTTGTGGCAAAATACACATAACATAAAATGTACCACCTTAACCATTTTTAAGTGTACAGTTCAGTGGTGTTAAGTATATTGACAATGTTGAGCAACCATCACCACTGTCCATCTCCAGAACTCTTTTCATCTTGCAAAACTGAAGTCTGTACCCATTAAACACTAACTCCCCATCACCCCATTCCCCAGCCCTGGGAACCACCATTCTACTTTCTGTCTCTGAATTTGACTATTCTAGGGACCTCATATAAGTGGAATCATGCAGTATTTGCCCTTCTGTGACTGGCTTATTTCACTGAGCATAATGTCCTCCAGATTCATCCATGTTTTTCATCCTTTTTTGAACTCTTAAGAACAAACATCAAAATATTTTGGCCTTCCTTAAGCTGATTTGGACTTTCAACATAAATTAAATTATTGTGAATAAAATACGCAAACAAATCAAAGCCACGGGTAATTTTAGAATACTCTTCCTCAAACTACACAGGCTTCCTCTGAGATTTAGACAGGTCCCACTCCCACCTGCTGGTTGAGTCATTGCTTTCGTTGCTCCCAGCTCCTTGATCTTTAGTAATGATACATTTAAAATAAGAGGATGCTCAAGCAACCCATTCTAATGGAAGAGGCATGAGAGAACAGGGACCCAGGCTGACCTTCAGCACGCAGTCCACCTTGGCCAAATGAATAACTTTCTGAACATCATGTTCCTTTGCAAAATGGAGACATTAAGAGTCTCCGCCCTGCTGCTCTTCTGGAGTTGCTTTGAACATCAAATGAGATACAGATGAGAATGTGCTTTGTCCTCACTCTTGTGGTCAAAGTAATTCCTCTGGTTCTTCTACCTAGGGAGTACTATGGAACCAAGCACTGAAGAAAAAAGTGTTATCAGTGATAAAACAGCTGAATGGATTGCAGAAGATGATGATGATGTGTTTGTGGCTTCACGCACAACTGAAGATTTATTTACTGTGATACACAGGTCTGGACGAATTTCCTTCATTTCTATTGTAATCACCTTCCTTTTTTATACCAAAAGACAAACTGCCACCTCTAAGCAGCCATTAGATTGAAACTAGAGGCTTAATTCCAGATACCAACATATGTGAAAGCAGTCCAGAGCCTCACATCACCAATTCACTGACATCTTTGGGTGAAGTGGAGGAGGGGCGGGGAAGGGAGAACCAGGTGCCAAGTGAGAGGCCCCTCGTCTCCTAGCAACCGCACGGCCTATTGTGGCTCCATCTGCTCTCTCACAGCTTTGTCTACAGTCAGAGACATTTAACCCTTCACAGAATTCCTTGTATCAAAAAATCTTATCAAGAAGTGAAGTGGGGCACCAGGCCAAGTATCAGAGCAGGAACGTAAGCAAAGGGGGACCAGATGGGGACCTAGTTATTGGATAGGGGCACAAAGCAGGGGCTCAGTGAGGAGGAAACTGGAAAGAACCCAATGATTGGAGCTAGAGCACTAGTTCCCAGACTGTCTTCTGTCTTCATTGAGTCACTGAGCTACTAGCCTTGACTCCTTACATTCTTCTTGGGTCCCAGAACCTGTACAGGACCGAGCCTGCAGGCACAGGCCAATGACTCCAGCTGCAGACATTGAAAGGAGTGTAGGGAGAGGGGGCCAGATAAGGGAGCCCAAGGACTTACTGGGGAGAGAGAAAGCTGGTGAGTGTGACTGTTTGCAAGGCTGCTCTGTAGAAGTTCCCAGATCATGTCACTGGCATTCATGAAGGTATATGAAGCATTAAGAAATGTCCACCACATGAATTCACTCAAAGCAAACTTTCTCTTATTTAGGTCCAAAAGAAAGCTGCTTGGCTGGAAGGAGCCCGGTGAGGCCTTTGCCGGAGGTAGCAGACCGAGCTCCCATTCACCGATAAGAAACACAGCTGATTCTCCAGTTAGTGAGTCAGCTGCCTCCGCAGGGTCAAGCGGTAGTGCCAGCCTAGATGCTGGCAGAAACGATTATTTCAAGGCCTTGTTACAGAAGAAGGGAAGTAAGGCCACTCCAAGGTCCCGCCCCTCAGCAGCCGAACTGCTGAAGACCACTAACCCACTGGCTCGGAGAATCATCGCACAGTTTTCAAAAGACTACGATACCACTGATAACCCCAGTACCTAAGCCCTGGGTTGAGCAAGTAGGGTTCAGTTACTAAACTTGAGAGAAAAGGGAGAAGAGAAAAGATTTGAAAAAGAAACCATGGAAATAGCAAAAGAGCCTACATTTCTTTTACTTTAACTCACACTCTGGACAACAGGAGAGAGACCACTTTGTTTAGAACTAAAATCATCAGGCACTTTAATCATGCTTAGACATTTTACGTTGTCATACTTAAAATCTTGCCATTACTGACTACAAATTTTCTCCTTATTTTCCGCCAGTGGTGTGCACTAAGAAGAAATTCTCAGCTGCAAGGGCACACGTGCCATGTTTGCCATCAATGACCGGCTGCTCCATCCCTTGCTCCTGTAACTGAGGGGCAGAGTGTGAGAGCAGATTGAGGGCTGTCAAACCTGGGGACATAGGGAGCCATTGCTGATTATTCACTTTCCTGGTGAGGCCTTGATGACTTATATGAAGAAACAGAAAGACTCTGATGCCTCTTCAACCACAGTTTAACTCTCTCCCACTAGAGGTTTGCAGGTGTACACTTATTTCGGCATGAGTTGATTGGATGGCTTTTGTGCAAAATGTGAATGTTACTCTGTCCTGAACTTCATGCCTTTTTCAGTTTGATTGTCTACACGGTGATCAGGGTGATAAATTTCAATAACATACAGACCCCCCACCCCCACCCCTTAGCTAGAAAAGGTCAGGACCGGGTTACTTTGGATGAACCAAGCTCAGCCAACGAACAAGGCATCCATTTGTCCACTCTGATCTATCCAAGGTAACTCGCACACACGCCTTCAGATCCTTCTAGTGTCTTTCAACAATGATAGCTAGGATCTGTGCCCAGCTTATGCTGCATTCGAAGAACTCTCATGTCATTGGCATATAACATTCATTACAGGAAGTAATTAGCTGAACGAACGGCATCATCAAAGTCTCAAGGAGGAGAGAAAGTAAGTGTAACTTGCCTACCACCATTCAGTTCAGATTGTGGTTTGTGGTTGGTTTGTTTTGTTTAAAGGAAGTCTTACTATGGCCCATAACATTTAAAAAAAAAGGCTTACTTTTTGCCATTTAGATTCTGCTGTTTGACCAACTTTTAGTTAACTATGTGGGGAGAGAGGGTAAGAACTAGGTAAATTGGATGCTGATGGAGCCCCAGAACAATCATTGTGACCCCTCCTTCCCCACCCCAAAGCTTATAGGCACTAACTGTTCTTTTCAGTTCCATTTTCTAAAGAAAGCCAGAGCAGTGATTCATTTGATTTTCATATGTCTGGTTTCTGGGAGCTTGAGGAAAAACCAGACAAAGCATTGAACAAAGAAAACTGGCTGACCAATAATGGAGGGGTAATTGTGCACCATCCCAAGAAGGGAAAAGAAGTCAAATGAAATAGCAGCCTGTTTCACAAAGAGGGTTCCCCGACCCGTTCTTCCTTCACCCCTCTTGACCCAACAGATCCATTGGTCAACCTCCTGAAGGATGCAGAAACTGCCACCAAGACAAGCAGATCTTGATTTTGATAGGTGATGTTGCTCACCAATGAGAAGCAAGCTCTTGGCACAACTGCCCACACTCCAGGGGATAGAGTAGCTGAAAAACCACACCGAGTGCTGAGAAGACTTAAGCCTCTCACACAGAAGCCCTGGGCCTAGGCTCTTGGTTGGTACAGTTCTGAATTCTAGACTTCTGAGTACAGAACAAACCCACCCACTCTCTTGCAGTCAGCGCTTCCCCCTGATTTAGATTGAAGCCACTTAAAATAATAAACAGCAAAATCCCAGCTGCTTTGGAAAGCATTCAAACTATTCGGTTCGAAGGACCTGACCAAATTTCAGGGGTTTTACTTGAAATAAAATAGATCCATTCCTGACCTTGATGTATATGTGAGTGCCACACTTGTCTGTCCCAGACCGAGAATTTCCAAAGATGCAAACATCTTGCTCTGTAGAGAAATGAAGGAGAGTTTGTGTTTTGGCCTCACAAAGGTAAAAGGCAGCCAGGGCCTTCTTAGGAACCATTATGAATAGCTGAACTCTAAAGTCAAGTGTGAGACTCACATCGTATAGAACTTGCTACTTCTGCTGATTTTTCTGGAAGCTTCTTGTTTGCTACTTCTAGTGGGTTTTGCCTCTCCCTGCACCTTGCTACCTCTGGTGGTTTCCACAAAATATTCAAAGCTAAATGCCCAGGCACCTTCATATTTGTCAGTTACCTTGAGTCTTACTTTCCTCTACAATACTCTGTATGCCTGGGATTTTTAGAGCATCTTCTGTGTCATCACTGTGGCCCTCAAATGCCCCAGTGGTATTCCAATTAGCACAAGAGGATTTGGGGCAGAGATTGTATGGTCAGAGGTAATACTGAGAACTGGAAATACTCATTTAATGTTTTACAACAGGTGGACCTAGTTCCAAACAAACAACAACCAAACTGTACTACTTCTACCAGTCATTGATGAACATAGCACTGAACATCTTTCCTAATCCTAACACCCAACCTGTCTCCTCCCCTTGATTTTCGTAACACCAACTCCCTCTCCCACCTAGGCACAAACTACAGTATTTGCTGCCTCTGCACTACTCTGCTGAGACTGTAGAAGAGAGGCTGAAGCCCCTCCAGAAAGGTTTTCAGGGACCCTACTACTGCCACTATTACTAGTGTGAATAATAATAACAATTTTTGAAGGCGGAATACAGAAGAGGCGCAAGTGAAATAAAGTTGGCCCCAAGAGGTCAGCTTCCAATTCAAGTTGTTTCTGTCCCTTTGTTTCCTCTGACTCCAACCAATAGTAGCAGGTGGCTCTGCTAGTCTGACTTCAGGTCAGTCAAGAGTGCAGGAAGTCATCCCCAGGAGAGGAGGTTAGTTGGCAGCCAAGAGTACATTGCACTTGGTGGGTATTCATTATATATTTGTGGTTCAGATGTTGAGGACAGAGAGCAAGTCATTCTCAGTATAACAGGAAATTTTGCTGGTGTCTCCTCTCCTTTGCCTGCCTCAGTCTCCCTCGTGGGACTTCCACCTGGCCCAACTTGTCCCTTAGCCACAACCCCTGTGAACCGCATCCCTAGCTGACAGCTCACCCTTTAAGGAGGCAAGAGCAAGGCAGAAGATTCATTCATGTTAGCTTAATGACCACAAATCAACCAGTTGAGCTGGAGACATCAGCTTGAATATGCCAAGACAGAGGAGATTCTACCAGACGTCCATTGTAACTGTCAGTCTGAGCAGATCTGTTCATGCACCTGCCCTCTTCCTCGTAAACAAACTGTTCCCTAAAAAGACGAGTTCGTGGTCAGCGCTCTTTTCCTACCAGTGCAGCCTTTCATTCTCACCAAGTCTGTAACATAATGATGAGCTTTCACTTTAGTATGATTTGCCAGGGCCAGGATTAGAGTGAGGTGAGTGAGGCGCTTGTAGTGCAAAGCTTAAGGAGGCGCCCACTCTCAGGGCTGTGCAAGTGCCTTACCCTCGTCCTGGCCCTGCGATATGCACTCCATAATGTACTATCAGTTTATCCCCTTCCTATGAACAAGTATGGTTCTTCTGACTTTGGGGTAACTCCCTACCTGCTGTTACACCAGGTGTTTTTATTACCATCTGTTTTTCCACTACTGGAAACATTTGTATGCTTATACATCAAAGACTCTTCATTATTATCAGAAAACATGGTTGCTTTCTAAGTAACCTGCTCCACGTGGCAAGTTAGTACCTATTTTAGTAAGGGATGCCGACAGGATAGCCCGTCAGCAAAATAGTGAATGAGTTGGAGGTCTGTCATTGGGATCATCCGCCTCTTTGTGCTCCATTCTCCCTAGACCTTGCTTCTCAGCACCAACTCTTCTGAGTGCCTCCTACTTTGTTCTCATCCTAGTTAAGAAAAGCATGCTCTCAGGAAAGGGATAAATTCCTTTACTTTGAGGTTATAAGGCTTAATGCTACCTCTTTTGAAGGTCTTTTGCAGTTTAACAGGGGAAAAGCCTTATGCCAAAGGAATGAAATTCTACTGTAGAATTTTAGGCATCAATTAGTTGCAGAAGTGTTTGTTTTCTTGTTGTTGTTGTTTTTTTTCACCATCAAAAGGCCAAATTCCCTGACAGCTAACTCCAAAATACTGAAAATATTTTAATCTCCTGGAATTATTCTAGTAAATTACTGGTGGTCGATTCAACCGCCCTAATACCCAGTGCTGTTCAATACAGCTCTTATCAAAGGACTCTCAGAAATGCTACCAAACGCCACTGAAAAGGCCTAGATAATTCATGGTGTACATTAACATTTTTTCACAAATGGAATTAATACTATTTATCATTTGAGTAAAAAGAAAAGGATTTAAAGAATTTGTGAAGATATGTCCTGTTTGTGAAAGTGAGACTGTCCAATATTGTCCGATCAATGTCAGTCATCCAGTATTGGTGGTGATGATCAAACTTATTGGAGGTACAACTTTACCGAACACAAGCCTCTGCTCCCTGCCATCTGTGTTTTGTGCTATGACTTCAGCTTCATGTGAGAATCAGTCCAGATCTACACCACAGCACCCAGTCCCTGCAAAGCCTTTGGGTATACTTCAGCTGTAAGTGATTGGGGGTTTAAAAGGAGAAAAGAGAGGGAAAGAGGTACAAAGAGCTGCATTTGTCAAAGGGCAGCAAAAATTATAATTATTTAAACAATGACATTAAATAGTTTTAGAATACTCAGAAACAGATTTATAGAGGAATACAGTAGTAAATGGTTATAGACACACATTTGAGATGCTTTTAATATGTTTAGCAAAAAACCAATTTGCATAAGTAATGGGTTGTGTGAAATAGGTATGTACTTTGTTCAGTAATGCCTCAAATTTAAACCAGTGGCTCTCAAAGCGTGGTCTCAGGACCACCAGCAGTAGCAGCCCTGGAATGTGTGTGTGTGTGTGTGTGTGTGTGTGTGTGTGTGTACGCACGCGCGCATGCATCTATCCAGTGATGTTACTTCTTCAAGCCCCTGAATCACTATAGGCACGATTCTCCAAATGATTTCAACCTTCTCGTCATTTCTGCTATCATTACACTGATCAGTCTCTGGCCACGTGATATATATTGTTATATTAGTCAGCTATATGATGTTGCTTGGTGTTAAGAACTTACCAGATTGAATCAACTACTTCCTCAACCTGCAAAATCTTTGATTTAACTTAACCAGCACATCTAGTGTTTTTATTTAAAATACTTTTAAATTCACAAATAAGGAAAAAGAAAAGGTGTTAATGTTTGTTTGGTATTGCCAATCCTTAAATACCTGTCTTCACTATGGTGGTTGTTCTCTAGAAGGGCTCTGGCAGAAGTATATTTGATTTTAAGATTTTACCTAAATAGCAGAATTTTATATCAACAAATTCTCAAACAAAATATGAACTGGAACAACCAGTTAACCCCTCTCAGCCTCTCTTTAATGCTAAGCTTTATAGAAATTTATTCTTTACGTAGTGTTGAGCGTTTTTTAATGTCCAATTTTATAAAATGTTAGGCATGCAAAAACAGCATTGTGCTCATTGTACAATTCACCCAAACTCATGTATTCCTCCGTATGTATGATGGTGAAGAAATATCAATATGTCTGTTCTTGTCTCTCCCGATCAATTGTAAATTGCAAATCTTTTCATTAATTTTTAAATGAGATATATTTACTCTGGCTAGTAGTTAAAATTTTATTCTTTTTATTATATTTCATTGCTACATTTTTCTACTGACTCCAAAGCTTACTTTGGGGAAGATTTCTTATTTCTAGATTGTTGTATTTATCTTATTTCTATATTTATCTGTAGTCATGGAATATTAGAGCTGAAAGGAACCAACTTCTCATTTTACAGATGAGGAACTGAGGCCCAGAAAGTTTAAATAATTTACACAAGGTCACACAGTGGCAGGGTCTGGCCTCAATCTCAGGTCTCCTGCCTCGGGGTCCAGTGTTTTTCATTTAAAGCACTACATTTCTAGAAGACCCGCAGCTGGCTTCTACTTTTATGACACATAAATTTCCTAGATATTTCAGTGAAATAATATATATGCTTTAATAAAAAATGGTCAAGAGTTCTTTAGTTCATGAATCCAAAGACAGATCTGATTTTCAGTTTAGAAACAGTCATTTCCTTCTGAATTCAGTATATGTGCTCTACTTTGTACAATGGATGTTCTCCTTAAAAGTTGTTTTTAAAATGATTTTTTTTATAAAATTCCATATTTTAGGAGAGAAGCTTCTTATGTAAGGGAATTGTTTTTGATGATTTCTTTAGAAAAATGAAGAATCCTCTTGTCAGTGTCCCTAAAAGCCTCTAGATTTTTCTGGGTTTTTTGCTTTTTTTTTTTTAGTGTGAACTTTTGTAATTGGTGTTTATTTAAAGTAGGGCAAGCCGATATAGGCTTTCCTAAAATCTACTTTATCCTTCCTTTCTTAAACTTTATGAGATTTTCAGACTGTTAGATGCTCATGAGATACTTCGTTGTGTTCTAGAAACTATTCCTAGCTTGATATTTTGTCAATCCCTGGGCTCAAACTCTATCTCCATCTTATCGAACAATCACAGAATTCACTAATCAGTAGAGAGTTCTGCATGCAGTCTCTTTTCCAGAACATTCTTTACCTAATGCTCATTAGTGTGATTCTCTCCTTAGCTATTCTGTGGAGTTGCAGGCAGTGGCCCTTCAGGGCTGCCTCAGTCATAGGCAGTGGTGTTTCTAGTCATTTCCATTGTCCCACTTTTTCTCCTACACCTCCTCTGGTTGCCCTTTTCAGGAATGCTCAGAGGTTGGTGGTATTTTCCCCATCATCCAGACAAGGGGTTGACACATTTTTTTTCTGTAGAGGGCCTCATAGTAACTATTCTAAGCATTGTGGGCCACATATGGCCTCAGCAGCAAATTCTTCTTTTTCTTGTTTATTGGACCTTTCTTTTTTTATCCTCACCCAAGGACATTTTTTTTTTTTTTTTTGCATTTATCTTCAGATAGAGTGGAACGGAGAGAGGGGGAAGAGAGAGAGAGAGAAACATCGATGTGAGAGAGACACATTGACTGGTTGCCACCCACACAACCCCAACCGGGGCCGGGGACAAAACTACAATCAAGGTACGTGCCCTTAGTGGGAACCAAACCCGGGACTCTCTGGTCCGAAGGCCGATGCTCTAACCACTGAACCAAACCGGCCAGGGCTATTAGACCTTTCAAAAGGTGTTTTTACACCTTAAAAATGTAAATAGCATTATTAGCTCATGATCTATACAAAGCCGCAGTCTGGACTTGGCCCACTTGTCAGAGTTGCTGGGCCCTGGTCCAGACTGTCTTCTGTGCCCCCTCCCCCCCCAATGTGCTCACTGGCTTGTGTACTGGGTAATACGGCTCCCAAGTCTACACAGAGGTGGGTGGAGAGGAGCTGCCTATGCCGACCATTACTCTTCACTAGGGTGTCCTTTATGGCCTCTCTCCCTCCATCATCTCATTCTCACTGAGTACCTCAGTGTAGGAGCCCTCATTGTTTTCTCCAGCCCTCCCATCCTAGTTATCCAATGTGCCTCTGTTTCCTCGAGTTTCAGTTAAGCTGGCAGGGAAGAATGGATTTCTGAGATTTCTTATTTATTTTGCCCCATCATTATCCCCCGACTGTGGTTCATCAGCCCTGCCCTGCCTCACACTGCCATCGTGAGCTTAGGGCTGTCTCTGGAGAGTCTGGTGGCCTAGGCTGTAAGAGTCCAGCGCACTCTATGATTTCCTAGGGAAATCCCCAGCTCTCTCGGTTTCCATGGCTGGTTTTAAAACCCAGAATGCCCACATGTCCATTTTCTCATGTAATTTGGACCTGTTGTAGACAGCCCCAGCAATAAAGTTGATGAGTTGCAGAAGGTATTCTGTACCCTCTAGTTCTTCCTGCCCAAACCTCCTGCCTCCTGGGCCCCTGGGGATGGATTTCTTCAGATGCTCTGGGCAGCATCACAAGCAGCAGGCATTCAACACACTACCACCTCCTGTTTTCTGCACCTCTGAAAGGATTCCTTAAAGCTTCTTCCCATCTCTCTCCATCCTGCTTCATCTCTATCTCTAACTCTGTTACTCAGAGTCACATTTTCATACTTGCTCATACAAACATGGGAAGATACGCGTGAGTGACAAGGTGTGTGCTGGTGTACGAAAGTGTGGTTCTTCTATGTGGACTGTGAGGGCCTCATTCCCTAATGTGCATCTCACACACATGCACACACACCCCGTCCAGTGCTCACAGCACTTCTTTGGTCCAGGCTCAGGTGTGATGGGGCTGGCCAAGGAGAGGGGATTGTGGGGGCTCCTGAGGCATGTCCCTTTTCTCGTTTTTTCCCACTGGCTTGTGCTGGCCTCTCCCAAGAAGCTATTGGAAGAAACTGCTCTGTGGCAGTTCTGGACAGGCCAACACTCAGAGAGCTATGACTCTCACTTATTATTAAGGACTCAGTCACTCAGACATACCTTTCGGGCTGCAGGTTTTCCTATCTAAGCAAATTGCTTCTTAAGACCTTTAGCTTGCTTTCTGTTCTTTGAGCCCAGGGATCTACCCACTTTCTGAAATCAAAATTTTAAAAAATCAGAGACATGAGTCACTTGCAGGATTTCCTGATTTGAAAGCACCCATGAAACTATTTCTTTCTGCCTTTTGTTTAGGATTTGCAGGCTTAGGAAGGGAACCAGGCTTGTGTCTTGGAGTCTAAGGCAGCAAAAGTGCCACACTTGCCAAAAGCAAAATGAGGAAGGAGGATTGGCTAGTCCTACTATGCATAGTCAAGAGACGGACTTTTGTGAAGTTAGCACTTATGGTCCAATGCTATTGAGTGCCAACAGTGCACTGAAGAAAAATAAAGGAGAGTGGAATTTACAGACAAATATCCTTAAACTGAAAGGCAGAAATAAGGCAATCCCCTCAGTGATGATAATGTGTCCATGGATAGATTTCAAGAAGCAACAGAAACTAATAAAGATCGGAATCCCAGTCTTTCTAGAATTCTAACACAAATGGAAGGGAGCCCTCTGTGGGGTGATATTACAAAGGGTTTTTCTAGTCTTTCTTTTTTTTTAAACAAAAGCATTTCTTACTGGCTTGCTACCAGCAATTGAATTGTATTCTTTATATAGCTAGAGCTGTTTGTGTCTTCTTAAAATAAACAACTTCTGTTAAAATCGTTTTCTGTTTCACCCTCTGGTTTTCATAGTAGCAGCGATGCCTTTATTCAGACACTAAGCCCAGTTTGTGAGCGTGTTTTACTGACCACACAAGTATGGGGCCCACACAAATGGAATCTGATTCCCATAAACCCCTGAGAGCCCAAAACAGATAGGCGGGACACGGTGTCTTGCAGAAATGCGGTGCACTGAGCCAGGAGACTCAGCCATACAGGCAGGTAATCCGTGTTCGAGGACTTCATCTGGAGAATTGGAGTTCAGCCGCTCATGGAGGCAACAATGGGCCACATATGAAGCAAGGTCTGGTGAAGTGGGCAGCAGTTACCAGAATCCTGAGGGGAGGAGGTTGCCTTAGCAACTGTGATTAGTGCTGCGCTCCCCCTTTGTTCTCTGGCTCAAAAAGCCACCCAGCAGGGCAGTCCAGTGTGAGCCGGGGCTGGGAGCAAAAAACGCAGACCAGATGTGGCCCAGATCACTTCTGTTCCTCAAAAAGGGTATGTATGGTCCCACCATTCACTTGGTGACAGCTATAGTCAAGGGTCAACTCCCATCCAAAGGAAGATTTGTTTTCTGTTCCCAACTGGCGCAGACTTCTAAGGCCTTGTAGCCAGCATCCTTGTCTCCCTGGGCCCTGTGCTAGCTCATGTTCCCAGACACCACCAGGATGCTCCTCCGAAAAGACATAACAGAGCTAGGAACAACGTAGAAAGCTCACATGGCGAAGGGAGAGAGGCCGGAGGTACTCTCAGACAATAGCAGGTGTAAAGATTTAAGATAAAGGTCAGCCTTATGCAAGCAGTACCTCTGTGAGGCCCTGTAGTTCAGGGCCCAGTGTTCACCCCGGTAGGGTCAGAGCCTCCTTCTGCCCTTGCACCATGAGTTGGGGCAGCTTTCAAGGTCTAACCCACAGTGACCAAACTCATAAGGCTTATCAAGGGCAGGGTCTGGTATATTAAAGACCCAAGATACAATTCTGAGTTATATCAGATATAAAGGAAGGGCTTCGGGAAAAGGAGTCCAGGAGAAAGGGCAAGTGGCAAACCAAGAGAGAAGAAGCACCCATATCTCCAAAGAGGAGGGGACAACAGCACTAACCCTTACCTGCCCCTGCCCTGCAGGACACATCACAGCGCAGCTGAGAGCCACCAGCCTGTGTCCTTACAGCCATGACAAGAATATACTTGCACAAGAGAAAAATGAGAGAAGGCACAGATGAGAAGAAATACTATTAGGAGGCAAACATATGGGAGAATGTTTGTTCTTCCTTAATGAGCAGAGACATACAAAAATTTAAAAACTGAATGGCCATTTTATTCCTATTATAGTAGCAAAAATGAGAGGGGGGGGAGAAACTGCAATATGTCAGCCTGAAGAGAATAATGAAGCATGGCTGCTAACGTTATGAATAAATACCATCTCTTTAAAATAAAATCTGGCAATAAGCATCAGAAAATTTAAATGCTTACACTATATTACTCAGTAATCCTTCTGGGAATCTATGCTAGGAACATCAGACAGAGGAAGGAAAGGGTATGGAAATGAGTCTAGAAGGGAATCAAGTATCCTTCCAAAAGGAAGCCAATGAATAAACTTTTTTAAGTGCCACCAAGTAAAAATCATAATTATGATAATGTCATACATTTGATATATTATAATAAGTGTATTACATTATCTAGTTTAATGCAACCATGTCCGAAGTGTTTGACTGTTATTTCCATTTCCATATGAAGACACTGAAGCTCAGAGAAGCAAAGTAACTTGCTGAAGATCACACAGCTAGTGAGGGGCGGAACCAAGATTTGAGTATCTGTCTGGATAGAAAACCTCTGTTGTTTTCACTCCATTACACTGCACCATGGAAAAAAAATACTTCTGCTAGCATTTCTTAAAATATTTTCCCCAAAACATAAGACACTACTAATAGATGTTTTAAATACCCAATTTGAAAGATTTCTTTACTACTGGACTTCTCAGAGCCTTT